GCATTGACATACATACTGTATGAGCCATAATCAAAGTGGCCTTCACTAACGTTCTAGGGGAGTTACAGTGACTTTTACTGGAGTCTAAGGGAGTCGCATTGTCTAACACTGAGGTCTTAAGGAGTCACAGTAACATACATACTGTATGAGCCATAATCAAAGTGGCCTTCACTAGCATTCTAGGGAGTTACAGTGACTTTTACTGGGGTCTAAGGGAGTCGCATTGTCTTTCACTGACGTCTTGGGGTAGTCACAGTGATCTTCACTCGAGTCCTAGGAAGAGCGATATTTGCAGGGGACTAAGGAAGTCACATTGACTTTAGCTGAGGTCCTGGGGAGTCAGTGACTTTCGTTTTGGTCTTAAGAAGTCACATTGACTTTAGCTGAGGTCCTGGGGAGTCAGTGACTTTCGTTTTGGTCTCAAGAAGTCACATTGTCTTTAGCTGAGTTCCTAGGGAGTCACAAGACCTTGAAAATTAATAAAACATTACAAATACAAACAACTGTAACATGTCTGAAATAAAATAATAATGAAACAATATGTTATTTATTTTCAGGTATTTACCAACTTTATTGTGGGGTAAAAGTGGCCATTTACAGACGTTTATTTACGGCAAGATGGGTCGCTTTAACTGCCCCGTACCTCGGGGAGTGCGTCGGAGCGTATTAATGCCAGATGGCGCTACTTGTACATTTGACGTATTTGAACCGACAGAACCACATCCACAAGAAGGTAGGTAACAATGTTCACTAAGTTAGCTGGTTATTTTGCTTTTTAAGGTAGTTTGCTATCATCCTACCAACATCATACTAAGTAACATAGAAAAAAATTTATCATGGTAAATTATTAAAAAATTGTCCTGTGATTGTCATTCATGTTTTATAGAGGAAGAAGGATGTATTTTCAGAAAAACTTGAGCAAAATAACCCAAAAAGCAGCCATTTTGGAACAATTCTATTGGGATCCATGTAAACACATTATCCCATAGAAAACTTTATACTAATATTCAAAATTCTATTTTTCATGACAGTCGTATGTAGCTCTCGCAACACTAAATATTTTTTTTTTTGCAGAGGTCAAACAAAATTTTGAGATATGATGGAAAGTTTCTGCCATAGGAACCAATTGTAAACAACTCAAAACATGCATTTTTGAGGTCGTCATTTTGTGGAAAACTTAGTTTGGTGACCCATATGTGTTATTTTATAAGAACTTTACAATAACCCAACCCCTCTTGCTGGATTTTGAATTTCTGGATGTTTTGTTATTGGTAGCAAACTGCTTAAACTGCAAACCCCCCCCCCCCCTCCCCCATCTTGCTAGATGAGTTTCAATTCTCTAAACATTCTGCTTTAACCTTTCAGCCACAGACTTTCCAGCCCAAATTTTTCTGCATTTTTATGTTATATTCTTCAATATTTCTGGAAATGAACCCTAATTTTGGAGCCAACAAATAAAATTTGAGTCAATTTACAGTTTTTGCTCAAAAAAATTTGCCATTGTTGTACCAATCTTCTGATAGAAAGTACAGACAATTTTGTGAATTTGTGATGAAAAGAGGAAACTGATGGTGGAAAGGTCAATTTTCCGAGCATGAAAGTCAATCTTAGCCAATCTTCTGATAGAAAGTACAAACAATTTTGTGATTTGTGATGAAAGAGAAACTG